ATTGCTAAGCAAATGATCCTGGATCGAGAGTGATCCACCTTTAGTCACTGGCCTCCATTCATGGAAGTTGTCGTATTCAGGTCATTTATATTCAAGTTTCGTCAGGTAATCGCTAATCATTTCCTATTATTAGGATACGAAAAAAGCTTACCTACCAGAGAATCGTATGAATTGCTGATTGAAACTTCTCCCTGTAACATTTACAAGACGAGACCATTTTCTGCCAATAATTCATAAAATCTACAGTAGAGTGATAATTATTTTCAAAGTAATTATCATTCCAAGGTCCCATTATTCAAATAAAGGCCTCTTGATCTGAAAACAACCTTTGTGAAATTTCCGTTCAAAAAATTGCTTTCAAAAATCATTGGTTTAATCTGATTTTTTGCCTAAGGAGCTGTGGTGCATGAAATTCGGATTTCAAAAGTTGCTTGATCGTATCTTCCAACCATTTTCCTTTCAAACTGTAAATGGCTTGTGTGGAAAACCACCGAGAAATACATTTTTAAAAAATCCCTTGAATCTAATGATCTTTCAATTTATGCTTCTGCTTACAAGACAATGTAAGACATTCACTTGAATATATGGAAATGATTTAGAGATTTCTCACCAGATTAGCCTCCCGTAAATGTTAATTATAAAAAACTATTAAACTGTTCATTCCAAACATTTAAGAAACTTTGTACATGAGATTCGTGAATTGCGCAGTCTCAACTGTGAACTGTGCACGACATACAAAGTTATAATCTGTTTATAGGCATTTAGCTACATCGGATTTTTTAAAATTTGTAAACAATAAAAGAGTTCACACATACGAATTGACAAAAAAAGAATAAACCAGTGGTTTTCAACCATTCTCCCCCGCACTCCCCCGAAAATTTCAAGATGTCCCTACAACAACAGTTAAAATGTGCTCGCACCCCTCACAATATCTCTCATCCACTACAGTGATTGTCTATAGTGCAGATAAGTGCATGCCACCAGGATGCGTTCTAGCCTTAAACGAGAACTGAATCAAACAGCAATCTCTAATTTCGAGTCGCTTTACTGATATTGCAACACAGATGTCCTCCACCCGAAGTGCGGCAGGCAGTTTCAAGATCAGTCATAGTCTTTGCTTATTATTGTGCTTGTCGTATTTATGGACATTGTATCGCTTTCATTTAATTATCATCTCTACTGCTTCGTCTTCCTGTGGCTTGCTTCATTTTATTTGTATTTTTATTCATCCCATTTATATTCTTTTTTATTGTTCAATATATAGTTCGTGTGAAATAAATATTTATGTAAAAATATGGAGTTGAAGGATCACCTCACTCATTAGGTGCATTTACGTCGTTTTCAGAGCATTCTTCTGTGAGCGTTATTCTTGGTACTGATATTCTGTTAGATTGCATTTTCGTGATCATTTCAAGCAAAATCTCTCCATAAAAATGAACAATCGATTCATATTTCTGAAAGCAATTTTGCTGAGTGGTTGAAGTGCTCGTTACAAGGTAGTTAAGTATGGCAATGTTGGCATTAACACTGACCGGAAAAGGTGACTGAGTATTGATGATCACAATAAGGTATATAATTACAACAGAAAATCGTTTCGTTCACTGCATGATATGAACGAACGACATATGAACAGTGTATCATGCAAATATGTAGGTGTGGATATTTCGTATAATATTTCTTGCCGAATCTGGAATAATGATAGTAAAAAATAGAAAGGAATAGAAAAGAATTGGATAAATATGCAAAGGATATTTATGTACGCAATGGTGAAAGTGGCTGGATGTGGTATTACCTAGCGGTGATAAGCTTGAGTGAGCACGAATAACACAAACGATCATGTGCACTGATGAATAAATCATTCTGTAAACTGGCATCCTACGTAATTGTTTGTGTTGAGGTATTCATATCTATGATATGCATGTGCATATAGACATCCGCAATAGTAGTTGCACAATATGAATACGGTAACTAAAGTAGGCTTGTCTTAATGTGAGTCGCTGATAAGTGGCTATAAATACGGACGTAAAGCAGTGAAACTCTTCAAAAGGCAAGTAGCTGTCAGCAACAGACGGTTTGTGAAGTGGCCGTCGTTTGAGAAGTACCCTTCGCATCCGATCCGATATCAGATCTCATCCCATCACTCTTCATTGTCATGTGCGGTATGTTATGAACTTCTTTCGCGAATTACCTCTCAGCAATTCTCTTATTAGTAACTTAAATCCTGGTTCGTTAGACATTACGATTCTGTTATCATTCACTAACATTTCATTGTCATCCTACAAAAATTTTCCATCCAACTCTCTTCATCATTCACTTGTTTCTACTTCTGTTTCCTCTTGACTTTCCATTTTTTCGACATTCTATAATTATGCACATTTGCCGCTAACCATAATATAGTTGAAAGAGATTGAGCATGATCAATAAGGCCATCATTTCAGATCATTTCATTCATTTTCAATCCAGTTCATTCAGTCTGGTGACAGTTGAGTCATGTTAACAATTGCAGCATTATTTCAAGAAATCAAAAGCCGTCAGGTTGATTTTATGAAGGCATTCAATGCTGGCAATGCGAACACTGCAGCAGCTGTCTACGACCCGGACGGATATTTCATGCCAAATGGAAAAGATCCAGTCAAGGGACGTGCTGGTCGGTTTATATTCACGCATAACGAATGCCTTTTCTGTTAACAGACACGTCGTCAAGCAACGATCATGCTCCGAACCTAAACCACTCGCAATGATCAACAAGCAGAGCATACGAGATTTGTGCAACGACGGGCTATTCGAACAGAATACATATCGTTTCGTTTAGTATAAAAGCTGCTTAATAATGTTGGGTCTTTATTGATAGAATGCAAATTGAGGAAATCTTAAAGGATAGTGAGCTGAAAATTAGGAAAAGAGGGTTCACATTCGAAAATGAAAGCGTACACTTGGAGGGATTCATTTTGAAGGGATTCAGTCTCGATGTTGAGGATTCGGCTTGCAACTGAGATTTGTGTGGTGACCTAGCCACTTTTCAACTTACAATTAGTTGTTTCAATGGGAATCTCACTTACGATTAGGTTGTTTTTAGATCAATTTACATCTTTATAATGTTAGGATCACTCAGTGCAGTCCTAATAGCACATGAATGCAAATTCATTTAATGATTTGAAAATATCAATTAAAAATAGTTCCACATCATCGTTTCCAGTTCATAACAACTGAATTCATCTGACTGAAATATCTTGTCAAGAATGAACTGTTACACAATGGCTTGTATGATAAGCAAATGTCTATGTGCATTTGCTTAAGGGTTGTTTTTTGAGTGGTTATTGCAACTTGACGAGACATTAAGATGATAACGACTACTAGCTATATTCATCAAAATCATGCTAAAAGAGATTACTGCTCTCAACAATCTCGAATTACCGGTATTCGATGAGATCGATCGAAATTCAAAGCCGCACTGGTATCAAAAATAGTCCCCTGAAATAAAACATACCTTATAGGGATTGAAGCGTATTTCAAGCAGGATATGGCCGAAGGTGTCAAAAGTGTGCAGGTATTATCTTTCATTATTATATTGATCTCAAAATAATTCTTGCTGAATGATATTCCATTACCATATGCTCACAATTAGTTGAATACACATGGGATTTTGCAGATTAAATCAACATTAGGTTAGGATGCTCTTACAATATGTGAGCAATTGTTGCAAGAATTTCTTTACTTTTGCCGATTTTTTCACACGAAGTGATGAAGCAAACAATTTTTGATTAATATTCGAGTTGTGGTTCATTGAATGAAGAGTTTATTACCACATACTACAACAATTATTTTCAATTCATTTACTGGTTATTATTCACATTATTAGCGCAAGTATCATTGTATCTTTTGTTTATTAGTTCCAAAAACTTAGCAGAAATTGAATAAGACGACAATTATCTCACGTTGGTGAATAATCACGCCTAGAGTGTTGATCGAGCAATGCATTCAAATATGAATTCATGCTGAATAACATAATGTCATTTTAATGATTAGAGTGATAGAATTAACGACAATAATGATGAAAGTTCAGATAATAACTGAAGAAGTGAATGGTAGCGGTGACTGGGCTTTCGAACGTGGAAGTTATCATCTGGATGGGACTCGTGGAACTGAAACAGGTGCATATTTGTTGGTTTGGAAGAAGGTGAATGGACAGTGGCTCATTCATAACGACTGCTTCAATGTCATCAAGCCTGCTCCACAATGATTCATTCCATTTCATTACATTGAACTGATCAGACTCATCGAGGACATCTTTAAGATCCCATCATTAGATTAACTTTCTGATATAATAATGCTTGTGTTGAAGTGTTTTATATCGTAATGTGTTGTGCTGTGTTGTATTGTGCTAACTTCTAATTTAGGCTATTCCATTTTATCAATACATTAATTCTCGTGTTTCCGTTCACACCTTATTACATTACTATACACGCACATATCATTGAAAAAGACATCAAGCGCTAAATCATTCACTTTAGATGCCAAATTTTACTGAGATCATCTCGATCATCTCTTCTTGATTGTTCTCGAGGTAAATAATTCAACGCATTTATCATTCATGAATAACTAAACGAAACAATGGAATTTCTCCATCGACAAAGTGTAATAAAATAAATCACTGATATCTGATCGTGAGTGACTAAACCGAAATTTAGTTGAATCTGATCGTGAGTTGGCAGAGATGATAAGAATACCCAAATGAACAGAAATATATGAAATGAACTCATAATTACACAGATAGTTCTTGATGACATTTTGGACGAATGTGTTAAATAAATGAGATGGGGTAAGAT